TTTTAACAGACGTCCATACTTTTACTGTAGGGCTTTAGGTCAGTGCACTTTGCCGTCACCGTTCGTTGTAAGCATAAATTTCGATATGTGCAAAATAAAAAAAAAAAAAAAAGAAAAAGCGGCGCCGGTGGTGTAGTGGTAAGCGTGATTACCTCTCACCCCAGCAGGCCTGGTTACAATCCCAGTCGGCGCCGCCGGGATGTTCTGAGGCATAACATCTCTAAGTAAAGCCGTTGGTCCCCGGTTCAATAGTTGATGGGTCAATAGGTAGGGTCCAGGTGTGGGCGCTGCCTTCCTGGCGTCGGTTGCATTGGTGCACAAGATCGACGGAAAAGAAATCAAGAAAAAAATAAATAATAAAAAACACTTGTGTTTTGCCTATTCCAATCATTCAGCGAAGCCAACGATGGGCGAGATTACATCATTCGTTAAATCATTGAACGCGAATCCTGTTGATTTGATCGCCACATATCGCAATGCGTAGGAAAAGGCGAGCTTAATCAGATTTGTATCTGAAGCAAGTAAGCATTATGCCTTGATGCATAACCCGGAGCAATTAACTTTCCATTATGCTGATGGAAAAGCAGTGGACATACGAATGTCGCATGCGAAGGGCAACGTTCAATACGTTCTTGTGTACGATTTGCCACCGGAGTTGTCAGGAAAGTGTCATCTAGCAAAAATTTCTACCAGAGCCGGGCCTGGATATGCATACAGGTGTGAGAGGTATTTACATGGACAAAAGGTGATTTTCTCCTCGCTTAATTTCCTCAATCGGAAATAGAAAGGATAAACGCTTCCTGAGTAATGCGGAGGACCACCGGATGAATTCTTGTTCCTAGCGGAGCAACCGGAAGAGGGAAAACGAAAGGATGGGCATGGGGAAAGGAAAAAATAAAACACTACGTACGCTACACTATCAGATATCAGGCGGTCAAAAATCAAAAAATCGACTTACACTAATCCTTATTTCGTTATTTTTGGTCGATAGTAAACATTTCAACTAAGAAAATCTGAAAGTTTCAAGCTTCTAGCAGTTTTAGTTTCTGAGATATCGGATGTCGAAGTCAAAAAAGAGTAAGAAAAGTACAAATTTTGCCGCAAAAATACACTACAACTCAAATAAAATTTCATCCACTATTTATCATATAACTACCACATCATTATGCATCGTTGGAAAGGTAATTTAATAAGCTTTCCAAAAATAAAATCCATTTGGAAATTTGATGGAGACAAAAAAAAATAAAAAATAAAAATAGAAAAAAAATAATTGAACATTAATGAAAATTTAACTTTAATTTAACGAGGAATTCATCGAACAGGAGCAATGTGTTGCCTCAACCTCGGCCTCGGGAACAAAACGTGGACGACCTTCAAAACCTTTCTTGGATTTGAGTGAAAGAGGAAAACGTCGCGTCATCGATAAAGAAGCAGTTGATCCAAAATTCGATACCATCGAGAAAGCTTTGTTATTTGCAAGACGAACCGCTTATAATCGAAAGGATTTTAATTTAGTTAAAGTTATTGGGCATATTTTAAAAAAACCAAAAAAGCTCTAAAACCATGCTTGCTCAACTAACTGATCAACGAGGAATGATGTCACCAGAAGAGGCTTTTAGTGTACTTATCGAGGCTGGATTGAGTAGATTTCAATACGAAGTAATACATAGTGAATCACCTTCAAGATTTCCACCTTACTATGTGATCGGAGCAGTGAAAAAAATATGCGCCCCTCCTAGTGAATTCATCGAAGAAAGTGCATTGAAAATAAGAGTGAAACTCCAGGCGCTGATGGAAAATACAGTGAAACGAATCGTCCAAATAATTGATGCAGAGCTCAACGAGTATATGGATAGCAACGATCTAGTTTCTACGGAACTGGTTCTTCTATGTAGCTGGGGTATGGACGGATCAACTGGATATTCGCAATATCATCAAGTGCTACCAGAAGGATGTCAGGACGATTCAGATGTATTTTCGTCCACTTTAACACCAATTCAGTTGTTCATGTACAATGATCGAAAGGAAATTATGTGGTTTAATCCCATGCCTCAAAGTATTCGATTTTGTAGGCCATTCATCCTTGAATTCATTAAAGAGAGTAAAGAAGTTATTCTGGCTACAAAACAGGATGTAGAAAAAGAAATGAGTGAACTAACGCCAGTGAAAATTGAACTCTCAAACGACAAGTTTATACTTGTTGATTTTGATTTTGTCCTCAGTATGATAGACGGAAAAGTCTTAACTTATATCACTGGAAATTCGTCGATGCAGAATTGTCCAATATGTGGGGCAACACCAAATGTAATGAATGATGCAGAGAAATTCGAGGAAGGATTTATATCAAACGAAGAAGCCTTGCATTACGGCATATCTCCACTTCATGCTTGGATAAGATTTTTCGAATGCCTTTTGCATATTGCATACAGAATGGATATCAAAAAATGGAAGGTAACGAAACCGTTCAAAGAACTGTATGAACAAAGAAAAAAACATGTGACGACACAGCTTTACGAAAAAGAGTAGATCAACCACGATCGGGTGGAGCAGGTACCAGTACTACAGGAAACGTTTGTCGAAGAGTATTTGGAAATCCCAAGCTTTCTAAGCTCCGTGCTGAACATTGATGAAGAGTTAATTTTCAGATTCCGGAATATATTAATTGCTATTAACTGCCAAGAGCCAATAAACCCGGAAAAATTTGATGCATATTGCAAGGAAACATATAGGCTCTATCTTAAATTGTATAATTGGTACAAAATACCTGCAACCGTGCATAAAGTTCTCGCTCATGCCGGAGAAATAATCATACATTCACCAGCACCACTTGGTTCATTAGCGGAAGAGGCAGCAGAAAGTCAACATAAACAATTGAAAAAATATCGAACCCATCATGCAAGAAAATGATCAAGAGTAGAAAATTTACATGATGTCTTTATTCGTGCCATTAATGAATCGGACCCACTGATCAGTTCCATTTGGATGGCAAAAAGACGACAGAAAAAAGTATCCCTGGATTATCTCAACATCGTGAAAAGTTTCATGATATTTGAAAATTCTGTAAGTGATTCAGTAGTCGATACTAATAACTTCAATGCCTTGGAGGAACTTATGAAAGCAGTCGATGAAATTGAAGAAGAATTTGTTCATGATGATATTGTAACAGAGGAATAAAAAGAAATTCGTTGAAACATATTTGATTTTGATTATTGTATCATGGCTTTTTGTATTTTTTTTAAAGAAGATTTGTTGAAAAAAATAAACATATTTCCAAAAAAGGTTTTTTTTTTATTTTTTACGGTGTTTCTCCCAATAAAACCATGGTAGGTTGTCTTTGTTCAATAGATTTTATTCTCTGAAAACAAGCTTGAAACTGTAACCGTTATAAAATCGTAAAAATTAAATTTTAATTAATCAAAAGTTATGCCCTTTTCGAAAGTTGGTCGTGAAAATGTTGAAAAGTGATAACGCACACCTTACATTGATGAAACAAAGCAAGAATAATAGCAGAAATTGTGATAAAATGATAGAAATATTTTTGACCGCCTGGTTGTATGAAAATGCCCCAATGTGCGCTAGTGTAGCGGCTGTAAGTGCGAGGAAGTAATCAAGATACAGCACGAGGAGTCGGAACCCGAACTGACGGCAGAAAATTGGGCGAATCTTGTGACACAGGAAGCGATGGAAAAGTAGCGGAAGAAGATTGGAGGAGAAGAAAAATAGATTAGTGTAAAAAAATCAAGATGTGAATAATTGCATTGAAAAAAATATTAGTCCCTCGGCTCCGTTTAGCTACAAGAAACAATAAGAAACAATGAGCTGATCAAATAAATATTATGAAAAAAAGAATCAAATATTAAGTTTTTTGTCGACTTGAATCCTTGAAATCTGAAATTTGATGTTGTGATTTCGCTGATAATGATTACTCAGGTTGTTGTCGTTTTGGTCGTTTTAACGGTTAAAATATCAAAATTGAGAGCAAACATATCTTCCTGTGACATCACATAGAAAACTATTTCTGCTATCAGTGAGAGCAAACTGAAAACCAAATTTGCTATCCATTTTTCCTGTTGATAACATAACAATTATTCAATTTGATGTAATGCTAAGGCAATGAAAACAAACCGCAACAACATATTTTTAAAGAGCAAATGTACAGCAAAATGAAATCTAAATTTGGTATCAACCCGAGCAAAGTCCAGCATCAAAATGACAACAAATTGAAATCAAGTTTTGATATCAACATCAAACTGAAATCATAATTTGATTTCAGTTTCGCAATTCACAATTTTTATACCATATTTTGTTTTCATTTTGCTGTACATTTGCTCTTAAAACATATGTTGTTGCGGGTTTGTTTTCATTATCAACAGGAAAAACTTATATCAAATTTAGTTTTCAGTTTGCTCTCACTGATAGCAGAAATAGTTTTCAATGTGATGTCACAGGAAGATTTTTTGCTCTCAATTTAGATATTTTAACCGTTAAAACGACCAAAATGACAGCAACCTGAGTAATCATTATCAGCGAAATCACAACATCACATTTAGATTTCCATTTGATCTCAGACTTTGCTCGGGAAATTTGTCAATGTGTAAACTGAAATCAAATTATGATTTCAGTTTGATGTTGATATCAAAACTTGATTTCAATTTGCTGTCATTTTGATGCTGGACTTTGCTCGGGTAACCCATCATAAACAAATTCATATAAAAAAACCAACGAAGCCTTTGGCTCTCATTAGAAAATAACAGAAATCATGCATCCACACAGGAGTTTAAAATTGTTCTCAAAGAACAGCTCATGAGAGAGAGAGAGAGAGAGAGAGATAATGGAAATTTTTGTGATTTTTTATTTAAATGTTAATTATGCCTATCGTCTATTCTGCAAAACGTTCATTATGCCTATCGTCGACTATGTCAACCTCCATTATAGCTATCGTACATTATCACGCTTCAAAATTAGTAATTGCTTGGGTTTAACATGACAAATATACTCACATCATTATCAAAAGCACTATTGGAATTATTTTTGTCATATGCTGCTTCCATTTTATTCAGCCAGGATGACTTGGCTATAAGATGGGGGTCCTTGAAGAATACTACCACAATAGTGATATTATCCGATGTCCCTTTTCTAGCACTTTCGACTAGCTTGTCGGCGATGGAATCAGCACAGTCTGTAAGAAGAAAAATAAGTAAAAAAGATAAATATTTGGGTTATACCTACTTAACAAGTATGTTATGTCGGAATGGTTTAATTCATCTTCAGGACACTCATTTGTCCAGATGGACACTCCCACATCTCAATACCTCCTATATTTGCGGTACGTTAGAAGCGTTGGGTTCACAGTTCGAAAAAGTAGTGTAAATTTCTGTTTTATATGATGCACACACTGGGGTAAATAAACTTATGAATGATACATATGAATTTCATAAGCGTGACTTACGAATGGTTTTCGGCTAACATGAGGTAGATTTGTACGCCTTTAACCATTTCATTTTCCCAAGCGTTGAAAGACGACTGGTCAACACATGGTCCATGGTTCGGTTCCAGTTTGCTCCGTTTTATTATTTTTGTGTCATCATTATTTTTTCATAAGGCAAATTCATACCGATTTCTTGTGGCTAAAATTGATAAGTGGTTCTTATAAAATTCTTACGTTCTTTTGCGTCAGTGCATAAATGGAGCGTCACATAGCATGTGTTGCAAATATTGTATACAAATACTCATCTTTGTAAAAAACATTGCTTACAAGTTGCTCGTTTGGGTGAAATGAACTACAAGTTTACGTGAATGAATGTTTACATCACAATTAATGTTTAGAATTTTTTGCTGTGTATAGTTGCTTATGGAGGCTCCATCAGTGCTGTAAATTCTCAAAATCAATTGAACATTTTTGATAAAAATGAGAAAAGCAGTTATCCACTATGAAATGGGACCTCCTTCGAATGAGTGATATCAGTTGCTGAGTCATTTGACGAAGGCATGGATCATTCTCATTTGAGAAACGCTTAATATCATACATCTTACCTGATGTAACCTACACATAAACGGAGCTCTGGTCGACATTCCGGCGAAAAAGCTAAGCCAACCCGACACCAACCAAAATTCTACCCGACATTGTTGACCCGACATTGGCCCGACACAAACACAAAATTGACCCGACAACAACACGGCATTGGGTCGACATCGATCTTAGATTTGCCTTACATTGATTCAACATCGGGTCGACTTGTCTGTTCGGGACTATTTTGCAGGGTTTCTTCCATACTCCACTGGCGTATGTCAAATGATAGTGAGTGACTCACAATTGACAGTGACGATGAGCTTCGAATGAGAAATGGGCTCTTCAAATTATGTTCATGTGAGAATTAATTTTCAAAGAACTGATTGAATGGTTGTATTGGGTTATCTTCAATCGAATGATATGAAAATTAACAGCACTGGACTCCATAAGCAACTATACACTAATAAAATATCAGATTGTTTTTATGTGTCCCACACATGAATTTTTGCAGTGTGATCAACAAATGATATCTATGTGTCGGACACATAGGGTTGATGTATATATTATGTCACGCTCTATGGAGGGGGGTCTAAGATTTTGTGACAAGCAATGCATTAGGTATAGGAAAACGTCACGATAGGGGGGGGGGGGTAGTTCTCATCGATTTAGCGTGACATAATCATTTGACTCATAAATTTCATGTGTGCTTCTGGGTGGATTCTGTTTATGTGTGGTCACATGAAAATCATGTGGAATTTTACATGGAAATTCATCAATAAAAATGTGCGGAATTTTATTAGTGTAGGAACTTAACGCTTCTAACGTACCACAACTACACTGAAAATAGTTCATGTACCTTCCATTGGAAACGCAAATGATTTTCATCCATAAACAAATTGAATGGAATTCATCTAAATTTCACATAACATTTATGCGATCACGTTAATTTTATATGATTTTTCATATGGTTTTCATCGGTCTCACAATATTCATGTGATTTTGTGGTGGGATTTTTAGCTATGTGATCACATGAAAGCTATGTGAAATTCACATGGTTTTCATCCATGAGATATGTGATAAATTTTTTGAGTGTATATGAGCGTTTACCCTACACATTACGAAAATGTCAATAAATTTCGGTGCCGAGAGACCGACACATGAAAGCGGTCTTTACGTAACAATAAGTAGAAAGAAACGAGAAATTCAATCCGGTCAAAGCTTCGAAACACTTAATTTTATATGACATGTTTGATTACGTTTAATGTTTTACGTCAAAGTTGAATTACGTCACGTGCAAAATAGTTTTTTCTAAGCGTTTAATTAAAATTAAAAACTCGGACTAGTACACTGAGCACGTGCAACAAAAAAAAACACTATTTAAATACTTTTTTTTTTAATTTTCCAAGATTTTTTTTCAAAATGTTTGTTAAGTACATATTAAGACCCGGATCACTAAGAATTAAATTTGATTTTTTTTTTCGTATGTGAAATACCGTTTCTTTCAGTCAATCAGTGCAACTGTTGGAAGGTTCACAGTTGAAGATTAGATCTCATTGCCGATAGACGTTTTGTTCGATCGCTGCGTTGTTTTTTTTTTTCGGTTGCTTTTGATAGCTATACAGTACGGTGAAATGTCGAGTGTAGTAGCCGTCACGAATACCATTGCTTTCATATTCCCGAATAATGCTGCCCAGCCAACTCTACCGGAGATGGTCCGCTTCGTGAAAGGCCTCACCGGTGATCAGGGAAAAATGGACACGGCGTATAAGAATGCTGAGGAGAGGACGGTATTCATTAAATACAAGTCCGAGGAAGGCATGAGGGAAGCCCTCTCTTGTAACGATGAAAGGCAAACGTTCCATTATTCTAATGGAACACAAGTGGAGGTTTGCATGTCGGTAGCGGGTTGTAACATCCAATACGTACGGGTGTTTGACCTACCGCCGAAGGTATCCGATCGTGATCTTGTTGCTGAACTAATCAAATTTGGGAAGATTAAGCGCTGTGTGCGGGAAAAGTATCCACCCGGATATCAACTGGATTTGTTCACTGGTGTCCACGGAATTTACATGGATGTGGAGAAAGAAATTCCACTAGCGCTCTACTTCCTTAACAGAAGAGGAAGAATTTTCTACAATGGAAATAAATTGAAATGCTTTGCTTGTGGACAAGAGGGACATCAAAAAAAGTCTTGCGGAAGGAGGAACGTAAAAATAACAAGAGACACCGGAGCAGGTGTCGAAAAAAAAGAAGACGGAAAAAACACATTCGCTGCCGTTCTCGCAGGAACGAGTTCGTCAGACAATGTCGAGAAGCAGGCAATAGATTTGGAAATAGAGATGCTAGAGGAGGAGGAAGAAGAAGAAGAAATCGGTACAACACTGGAAGCTGAATTGGATCACGGAAAACAGCAGAACAATCAACACAACCAGCAGCAGCAGAAGCAACCGGTATTACACTACCAACCGCAAAAGCAGCAAAAGGTTGGAAACTGGACTGAGCACGTTCAACTGCATACAAAACTGCTGAAGTAACAGCAGAAACAACAGAAGTATGCCAACGATAGTTCACCGCCCAGGAAGACCTTACGTCCCAGCTCTTCACGTTCGGGCACTGGATCAGATTAGTTTTAATAATTCAAATGAATTGTAATTATTCATTCTCTTGACTCTTGGCTCCGTAGAGTTTTAATTAATAGTTGAGCCTTACAAATAAATTAAATGGATAAAAAAAAAAAAAAAACTGTTGGAAGGTTGACATGCGATAAATAATATAATTATTGTGACCTCCTCATATGAATAGTATGTGTGGCAAAACATGGCCATTATGTGTATACTAAGCAAGTAGGGGAAACAGCCCTATTGTTGCGGTACGTTAGCAGCGTTAGAAGCCTATTGTTGTGTATGGAGGTCTTCATACACAACAATAGGCTTCTAAAGCTGCTAACGTACCGCAACAATAGGGCTGTTTCCCCTATGTGTCTATCACATAGATATCATTTGTTGATTACATTGCAAAAAATCATGTTTGGGACACATAAATACTATATGCGGATTTTTATTCTATATCAGTGCCAACATTTCAAAGGAGCGTAATTGCTTTTGTAGATAATGGCTTTAGCCATCGATTTCTCGCAAATAAAAGCTCACTCCTCCAAATCAGCAATGCTAGCTGGTAGAGAAAACATTCCTCTACGTGTTGGTGTAATTAATTTTCATAAGTGAGCTTTTATTTGCGAGAAAACTACGGCTAAAGCCATTGTTTACAAATGCAATTACGCCCTTTTGAAATGTTGCCACTGATATTATGAGGACAGGCGAAAAGCTACAGTTGGTAATAGCTAAAGAATAAAGAGAAGAATATAATAAATATAAGGGAAGATCTCACACAAATTTACCTCCAGAGAACAAAAAAAAAATCACACGCGCTTCGAACTTATCATTAATTGCGATTCAAATTTGTTTCCAAAAACTATTCCACTAATATCTCGTCATTCTACTCTGGTCTCTCTTCAAATGTCGAAATATCTCGTCATTCTCTATAGGGGCTGTTCATATACCATGTAAACAGTTAAAAAAGGGGAAAGTTTACAGTTTTTTTTTCATTCGAACAAGGTTAGACTCGTAAGTTTATGGTTTTGCAAGCACCGTTGAAGACCGAATGCATGCACCAGCACAATCACCACAGTCGAATACGTAAGGTTATCAGCAACCAAAAAACAACAACACAAGTGACTAATACTGTACACATTTTTTAAAACCCTCCACAGCTGTTTTATTGATAGCTTTCCAAGCCTACCATTTTGTATTCATTTGGAATCACAATGATACTTCCAGATCATGTAAGATTTATTCAGTAATAAATAAATCTTACATGATCTGGAAGTATCTTTCATTTATGAAAAACAATTCGTCCTGTTTTTTTACACCTGATCAAGCCATGCTCACATACATCTGCAGAATTTGTTCATATACTTTTGCAAGCCGATTCCCAAGGAATGTAGAAGCGCAATGTAAACAGCGTAAAAGATTCACTTCGACTATTTTTAGCATTGTGAGTTCTCATCAAGGAAAGGCATCTATCTCGCTGCCTAGAACGCTTGGGCGTACGTGATGTAAAAAAAATCTTGTTAGTTTTTTATGCGTTTGTTTTCACACTTGGATGCGTAG